CATATATATATAATTTGTGGTATAAAAAGTGAAAAGTAAATTGCCAAAAGTGCTTCAAAATCTGGAAGGCCCATTATGGCGGCTGGGTCATAAATGTGTTATTTTTCAAATTCTCATTTATTTTTAGTGTAAAATGTAAGTAAAAATAGTTTTCTTACATATTTCAAATAACTTGACGTTGTATTTATTTCAAATTCACACAAAACTATTTTAGAAATATTGTTCTAAATGTCACACAGATAAAATATTATTAGTTTTTTTAATTTCTTTATATTTTAATATTTTGGTATGAGTAACGAATGGAAACACATAAAACATAAAAATATACATATTTCCAAACATTTTCATATAAATTTCTCTAAAAACAAAAGTGTAGAATTCAAATTAGTAGTAATTTAGTCACTAAAATTGAAGTATATACCACTATACAGCTATACAGGGTAATTTACGTATTTTATTACAATTTCTAGCAACCAAAAATAATTTTATTCGATAGTTTATACATTCAACAAGAATTCCTGTAAGTTTTATCCATAAATATTGTCTCAAAGTGAAAATATAGCAAAATTTGCAATATAGCAAAAAATTTGTTAATTTTCAAATTTTCCCGCCATTACGGTCCCGAGCGAACGGGAGTATAACATGTCGCGCGCTCGCTTGGCGAACAGAACTGAAGGTAAAGTAAATATCAACAAAGATTATTAGAATATGTTTTGCAATTTTTTTTAAAGCATTTATTTTATAAATTACTAGCTGGTACCCGGCGCGTTACTGCCGCAGAAAAAATAATTGTGAAAATATCGTTTTAAATTTGGAAAAAATATTTTGTTTAATTAGGAATTATAATACAATCATTGAAATTGAATATCATATTAATTAACGACGGTAGCGTGATTTTGTTAGTATTTTTTTTAAATCGATTTAGGCTGATAAGCGAACACACAGTCTATCTTAAGTGGAAACTGTGGCCCCTAGACATCTATATGTATTCTCGGATAAGAATCAAAATGTCATCTACATAGTGTCACCCCTGAGAACTAAAATGCCTCATTTCCAATCAAAGGGTCTTTCCTAGTGGTGTTCTTGGGATTAGTGGCGATGGGGATAGGGCACGCGAGAGAATGCAGCAGGTGCTCTTTAAACTACGAGTAGGTGAAGTTCACCATTATATTTCATTACGTAGAGTTTAGCTAATTAATTCTTAACATCATTAATTTCCAATATCCGCTTATACAACAGATTATCTTACGTTGGCATCACACAGAAAGATACATTACATACCTCACTAATTACCTTTCAAAAGTAAATCAATATTCGCTTAATTATTAAACAAAGCTCCCTCCATACCTCCTCTATAGATATATAATCTAATGACGATAGTACCAATAATTAAAGATATACATAGCAGTAGTTCGTACAAGCACTAGGAATTCGGTCGTGGTCGGATTCCGCGTCGGTGTGGTCGCAGCATGCCGGCGAATATTAGAGGCATAGCGAACGCGTCAATAATTACGGGCATAATTAGCGAGTCATTTGACTGAGTGACGTGTTTGGAATAATTTGTGTATCTGAATAAATGGCATTGTTATTTATTATTAGTGTTAAAGGATTACACGGTTAAATTAGATAAATAGGTTAGAATAAGAAAAAAAAAAATACAACATATTTTTACGTGGTAGACCCACGCTGTAGCTATATCATAGTTGTCGCACGAATGGGTCGGCTCGACCAGGGAAGGACCGCGCTCTTACACAATACTATCGTAATGCTGCTGTGTTTCGTATGGTGAGTGTAGAGAACCTAAGACCCTTTTTACTTTTTCCTTTTTTTTATTTTTATCTTAGTCCTCACGGGTGACAACGCATTTGCATTTTGATTCTTAATTGAAGATGGACATCTACTTACTATCAGGTGGACTGCTTGTTAGTGACCAATGCCATAAAAAATATTATGTCAATTAGCAGGGGAGGCCTAAGAGGATGCACTTACACAAAGCTGGTTGTACTCATAGGTGTATATGGGGTGCAACAGCTATCTACCATAAGTGGTTTTAAGAGTTAATAAAACAAGTATCTATGTGACTCCAAGGCGCAGTTTATTCACTACAACTATATAAAAAAAAACTTTCCTCATCCAACCGTCTAATAAAATGATCTGATATCTTATTTAAGTGATTTTGATGCAAGTATTAAATATTTACAGTAGTCTATATTTAGGTGAACATTTCTCATGCCGACCAAAATGCAGCGGGATTATTGAGGGAAGGATTATATAGGACTTTATTGAGGGCGGTGCTGTAATTTTGCGGCGAAAGCATCGCCTGAATAAATGACCACATCAACCTGCCGATACATCTACTAAGCCTATGTTTGGAAATATTTGGCTTACAGTTTGTAAGTTTTAGATCTTTTTTTTTTTTTGCAAACAACTATAGGAACAAAAAAGAAGAAAATATTAACTTTATTGTGAAACTGACCATTCACACGCGCGTCACGCACACACAGCGACACGCGCACAACAATATAAATAATAATTAACACGTAGCCAAAATACTATAAGTTCTGTGACTCCCACACTAGGCATGGCCTGTCTCGTGGGAGTCAAGCAAAAGATTTTACAATTGATCAAAGTGGCTATTTGTCAAAATTACGTAAAACAATTATGCGCATAAAGCAAAAATGACTTAAAAATTTATGAAAAATTACAGACATAACAAACAAATTCTAATTAAAAGTTATATATATATATATATATATATATATATATATATATATATACAAATTTATAACTTATACTAGTGATTCGCCCCGGCTTCACACGGGTGATTTCTGGATCTCGACACCATCACCACCTACTGGGGCCAATATAAGCCATTCTCGAATCAACCTAATCATAATCACGCACACAAAATTTCATCGAAATCGGTTCAGCTTTTAGGAATTCAGCCACCTACAAACAGATAGAAAAATTATTATATATAATTATTTTATTATATATATTAATTTATTATATATATTATATTATATATATTAATTATTAAATTATTATATATAATAGATTTAATAAATTTCACTTTGTATGTCATAGCCATACCTTTTGTGAGTTTTTATTTTTATTATAAACAACCGAGCGCACATTCCATCTGTTGGCAAGTGGATTATGTGAAAGACACCTACATTTATTTATTAGGTATAAAAATTCTAATGCATTGTGACTTCCGACAGACGACGGAATGCGGATTGACCGCTTGGTGGCACAGTGTCTCAGCAGTCGTGTCACTGCGACACCGCAGGTTCGAAACCAAAAAAATAAATTACAAAAAATTTACTGTGTGTCTTGTCTTTACTTGTTTGATTAATATATTTGAACCGCCAAACGATACAGAATTTCTCTTGTATAATCCTAGTAAATGAAGTGACTTTTTTTAAATAAAGTAAGAAAGAGTGCCTAGCTGCCAGTGAAAAAGGTGTCTGTCTCGTCATCTACCATAAAAAACGCAACAGATATAATACGTTCCAGAGTAACTCCACCACGTGTTTCTTAATAGGAATATCAAAGGCAAACCAAAGTTTGTTTAATTCAAAACGGTAAATTGGAAATCTAATAAAGTGATGTACTTAAAGCTTTAAGTATGTACGTGCGCGGTCTGTATATTTATTATTCACGATACAATGCGTCCAGAAACCAGGAGCGGGGAACATTAAAGCGGATATAGAAGCGAGAATCGTTACAAAAGTGATATATATATATCGACGCTGGAAAGGAAAAAATTACTAAGCGACACTTTGGTCGATATTGAGTTATATATATCATTGGAATCAGATTTTTTTCTGCGTCGATTGGTCCTACCCTCATTCTCCTGCGATGAATTTTATGTCGTTTAGTAATTTTAAAATTCGTGGGTTTTTCGGAGTTTTCGGCGACCAACCGACGAAAATTTTGTTCATTTTAAAAAATATTACGTTTAGGACATTTTGTACTTTACTGTATTCCTACTTAGTAAATATATCCTGTTTTTGGTTTAAACTATTTTGGCTTTAAGTTACTTTTTCCCGAGCTTATGAAAAAATAATTATTTATTTAGCTAATTCTTACCGCTTAAAAATTTTATTTTTTTGCAACCTCTTACCTTTTTACCTGTCCTTAATATAAACGTTTTGTCATTTGGATATTTTTTACCAGTTCTTATTAACAAAAAATATGTCGTTTAGAGATATTTTTCCTTTCTATAATTTTGTCGCTTAGATAAATGTGACCTGCCGTTGTGAAATATTTTTTGGCGTTAAGATATCTCTCCCAGAAAGCTTTTTTTTAATAAAACGTCGGTTGAGTTTTTCACGTTGATCTTGCACTGTCGTGTAGTCAGGCTGTGATTTAAGCGGGCTACATACGACACGATATCGGTGGCGATCTAGGGTGGAGTAGTGGGGATGCCTCCTAGATTGCCTCTAAATCGTGTCGTATGTAGAGCCATCCTAAGTCGTAGCCGATATCGCCTCCTTAATCGGCTGGCAGGAGCAAAAATGCTTTTAATATTCGAGTGGCCGTGAGGAACAAAAAATTGAATCATTGCGCGGCAAGCTGTCGCTTAGTCAACACGTGTCCCGATCCACGGCGAGTCATCGCGCATCCCGATGACTCGCCGCTTAGACTAGATAACCGGTAATTATTTTTATTTTACGTGTTACATATTTTTCTTATGTTGTAATAATATTTAAGTTATTTTTATTTTACGTGTTTTAATCTATGTTTTAGAATAATGGATCGACAAAAACTGCGTTCATCGAAATTAATAGACCTAGCTTTAATGAATGCAGATTATATCAGTCCAAATACTTCGCTAAATGATAATAAAACCTCTGTAAGTTATCTCCTAATATCTTAAAGATTAACTTATAATTAACTTTATTTTGACAATAACATAGTTTTGATTTTCTATACAGGACTATTTACCCATACAATATGATTATGGTGAGCATGTGACCGCAAATAAAAAAGGTATGAACCGGAAAAATCTCAAGAAGCAAGTATGCAGAAAGCTTTTGTTTGAAATGATTGAACCGTTGAATGATGCACCGGTATGTATATTCCTACCCATCAAATTTTATAACTTATCATCTATCCGATACGTATCCGTACGAACATACGTACTTACATCAAACGTGTCGACATCTATGTGTGCTGACACATCGTAAGCGATTCGTATTGCAATAAATAAATCCGTACAGTGCGCGTGAATTTTGGCGTAAAAGCTGATCAGAAACATTTTTAATCTTACTTACATAGCAATTTTTTTTTATTAGTTTTATATTGAAAGTCGGAATGGGACAGGTATGTAGCAATTATGATGTTATACAGTATTATATAAATTTGCACTATTTTAGGATGAAATGCTGATAAGTGCATCGACAAGCCCAGTTGCAAGTACATCAAAGGCACTTACCGTTTTTGAAGAAATTGAAAAGGTTTACAGTGAAGGTCCAGTAAATATAGATTATGCACACGTGGAAATCCCAGGTACGTCAACTCTAAACTCCAACCAAATCGCCGATAATGGGTTGAATACACCAAATGAGCAGACTCGAAGCACCATTACACCAAGTACCATTTCGACGAATTTGACAGTTGATGAAGGCTTTCGTTATGGGGATTCGAAAGCAGTAAAACGACGAGGTCGTAAACGTAATTGTAAAACTAATAAACGTTATATTGACTACTTATCCGATGATGAAGATTTTTTTTACATTTTTTAATTGCGATGGGGCTGATTTGGATTCAGATCAATGGTCGGGATCAGAGACGTCAGAAAACGATGATGTAGGTGATATTAGGACAAAGAAGAAGAAAAACCCAAAATCTAAGCAGAAGAAAAAGGTAGTTGTTATTATACAAGAAGAACCAATTGTAGGTGAAGAAGGTTTTAGAAAGGAGAAGAAAAATTCAAAGAAAGAACGACAACAAAAACGATTCAAGGGCGAGGAATATGTACGAAAGGATGGTAAAACTGTAAATGCTAAATGTCTTCAACCCAATCCATGTAGTGGAAAAAAATGTGGCAACAATTGCGAAAATATTTCGGATGAGAGAAGACAGCAGGTGTTCGATCATTTTTGGAAACTGACAGTAGACCGCCGACGAAACTGGTTGGTTAATTTAACACAAAAACTAGCTGTAAAACGTAAAGGTACCAACTCAGACACCCGTGTTAATACTTTTAAATACCACATCAATGAAGGTGAAGGAAGGCGGGTAGTATGCTTGCAATTCTTGGCTGCTACATTAGACATTTCAGCAAAATCTATCTACCATACGGTCAAGAACTCTGAATGGGGCTGTGCTAAGGAAGATTTACGCGGAAAATGTATACCACCGAATAAAACAAAACCAGATACCATTGAGAACGTTGTGAAATTTATTAAAAGTTTACCGGCAGTACCGTCTCATTATTGTCGCCATGATTCCTCCCGAGTCTACCTTCCGCAAGAATTTAAAAATATTCCAAATGTCTACAGCATTTATAAAAAACGTTTGGAGGGCGACGGTGTTGATTTTGTTAGTGAAAAAAGTATTTCGTAGAATTTTTACAGAGGAATTCAACATAGGTTTTCACGTGCCTAAAAAAGACAAGTGTTTGAAATGTTTAAAATTTGAGCGGTCAGATACTACAGATCCAGTTAATGCGGAAAAAAAAGTTGCTCATGAAAATGAGAAAAATGAGAGCTACAACCGTTTTTTTGCTCACAAAAACATCCATAAAATTGATCCTAATACTCTATGCGTAAGTTTCGATCTAGAAAAGGTTCTAAATACTCCACACGGCGAGTCCATGCTGTTGTATTACTCGCGTAAATTAGCGGTCTATAATTTGTGCTTCTATGAGAATGGTACTCGCAGAGTATTCTGCTTTTATTGGAATGAAAGTGATGGCAAAAGGGGTGCTAACGAGATAGCCAGTATTTTAAATAGGTATATAAAGTTGGTAGATGAAAGAGGTAACATAAAAAACTTGCTCCTTTATTGCGACTGCTGCCCAGGGCAAAATCGGAACCGGGTTGTCTTGGCGATGATACACTCGACTTTGCAAGAATGCAAAAATCTTGAAACGGTACAAATAAACTATTTACTAACCGGTCACACTTACATGCCTGTCGATAGTGTACATGCTGTTATAGATACTAATTTAAAGAAGACAATCATTTATGCACCATCGCAATGGTACACCGTATTTAGCACGGCAAGGAAAGATCCATTTCCATACGAGGTAGAAAATCTTCATTTTGAAGATTTTTATAAATGGGACTCAATATCTGAAAAATATTTTAAGGGCAATTTGACGGGAAAAATTAGTAAAAAGAGTAGATTGCAACGTTTAAAAAAAATAAGCCTGAATCTGTTTCAGTAAAGTATACTATGGCACAATCTGGAAATGCAAGTGTAATTGAAATCCAGTCAAAAACCAGAGTGCCTCTTATGTCATGCTATCGATCATGTCTACCTATATCAAAGCTGAAATATGATGACTTAGCTAAACTTTGCAAGGACAAAGTTATACCTGGTCATTTTCAACATGAGTACTTAAACATTCCACATTCACAAACAGAAAAGGACAGATTACCTGAATCAGATATTGAGGATCTTGAGGTTTAAGCTACTTTAAAATATTTGGCAGTTGATTTAAGTTTAAATATTAAGTTACCATGTCATAGCTCTGAAATCTTCAAGTTCTAAGGATTTTGGAACTAAATCTAGATTTAACAATGAATGAAAACCTATTCAGTAAGTGTTATTATAATTACGAATTTTTGACTGATATTTACAGAATTTTATGGTACATTCATAGTATTTAATGATTAACATTATGATATAGTTACTTAAAACAATCATTGAAATATCAATGGCTTCATATTTTTACATAAATATATTTAAGGATAATGATTTATTTTTAAGTATTTATAATTCTAGTAATTATTTTAGACTGATAGTGCTATAACTATATTAAATTAATAGTCATTATAGTTTTACGACTGTTAAAATGCTGGCCAAAAAATAAATATTACATAACATGTTGTGGTGTAATGCTAAGAAAAATATTTGATTATTTTAAAGATATTGCAAAGTTTACAGTTTGTTAAATAATTCTAAGTGATTGGCATTACAATTGCAAAATGTAATTTCTTAATATAATTTTTATAAAACCGAAGATCTGTGACGACATATGTTCCTTGTAATACTTGGTGTACTTTTTATTTTATTTTTAGAGGTTGTTTTGGTTTGTAAGCGTGATTTTGAATCACCAAATTTAATAATTGTTCTTTCTTAATAAAGAATTCTTTATAAAAAAAATACTACTGTTTTTTTTTTTGTCAAACCTAGGAACTTCATTGAATAATTTGAGGCAAGATCTAATTTTAATTTGTACTCTGGTAAAAAAATCCCTGTCAAAAATTAATTAATCATGAAGTGTTAAGTGACTTATCCCTGAACATAGTTATGGTTTTTAATTATATAGGTATTTTTTCCATTCTCAAATTCTTGGAAAGTAATTGATTATTACTTTTTTCCCGTACTTACATTAAGGGTCGGTTGGCGGTTGGTCGGTTTTTCCCATCCGTATTTTTATTTAATTTTTTACTAAGCGACACTAACTTCGGCAATCGTAACCAAAGCAGAGATTTATTTACATTAGGTAAATAAGGATCAAAACATCTTAATAAACACATACAAATCATACCAGTAAGATAAACAGTACAATTTAAATGAATTTTTTTTCAAAATTTCAAACTTTAATCGACTCTCCTGTAAAGTTGCCTATATGTCGCTTAGTAATTTTTTCCTTTCCAACGTCCATATGCACCGAGTAATATTAGACTTACAAATAACAAATAGTAAATTAAAACTTAGAGGTGTTAGAGCCAGGCTGCTACTATATTTAATTAATATAGTTGCAGCGTGCCTCTTCCACGTAGATGACGACAACCAAACTCCTCTTTAATGATAGCATTCTAATTTTTTTTCTTTATTGAAGACGTTACGTTAACTAAATCTTGTATCGTGGAGACGGTTCACATACTTTGTCCATATGTGTACCTACATGACACTTGTTTTTTTTTTTAGGATAAGGGTGGCAAACGAGCACACAGTCAACGTGAAAGTAAGTGGTTGCCGTAGCCCATAGACATCTACATCTATCCTCGATTACGAATCAAAATGCAGATACATTGCCCGTGAGGACTAAGATGGAATGCCTCCTTTCCAGTAAGAAGGGTCTCCGGTTCTCTACACTCACCATCCGAAACACAGCAGCGTTGAGATTCTATTTTATGCTGGTATTCTGTGAGAGCGTAGTTCTTCCCCGGTCGAGCCGACCCATGCATGCTACAACTATACCACACACAATTTTTTTTTTAAATTTAAAAATTTAATTACACACAAATTTTCCAAATAATTGTTATAGCAACAGAAATTGTTTGTATACAGCAACACGATGTTCAGATATAGTGAGGTCATATTTCCAAATGTTCTTTCATACTCAACAATCATTAAAAACAATATAATCATACCCTTGTTTTTTTTTAAATAACAAATAATTAGTTCTATTATATTAAAGGTAGATTAACATTTAACCGGAGTGTGTTAAAAAGTACGGATTGAGGTTTATAATGTTAAATAAACAACTCTACTATAAACCTTCCCTTCAGCTTAAAATTTATAGCTGGCAAAGAAATCGCCGGCCAAATACGAATTCTGCCAGCGGCAAGTCAACGTGACAAGTTTCAATCCCCTTTAATTTACAGAATGAGAATATACCCTTACTTTATTTAAAATAGTCAAAAGTCAAAACTTAAACAAACTGTGGAACTAGCAACGTAGCCATGAATAAATTAAAAAGTTCGCCTTTCGATTTAACCTTCGGGCAAAGGGGATTAGTTCAGAATAATTATAATTTGAGATTTGAGCTATATATCTAGTTAGTAGGCCTACATAGGTATCTAAAGTGAAACTTTTACTGTTTTTTGGTTGGCAACCGCAGTTTTTATATTATGGTATATTGAGTTGTTACCAGGGAGATGTTGGTGCCCATATTCCATTTTACTATGTTCCGTTATATATTTAACATACACACATATATATAGTAGAGTAGAGGAGTGGGGGCAAACGAGCATACGGCTCACCTGATGGTAAGTGATTACCGCCGCCCATGATCAACTGCAACACGAGGGGAATTGCAGGTGCGTTACCAGCCTTTTAGGAAGGAGTAGGCGCTTTCTTGAAGGTCCCTAAGTCGTATCAGTCCGGAAAAAAACTCTGGTGGTACACCATTCCACGGGGAAATTATGCGAGAAAAAAAACTTTTAAATCGCATAGTGATGGACCGCCAGTCATCCAGATGGTATGAATGGTATCGCGAGTTTTATCGCGATGTGCGATGGTGAAATTGTGGGGCTGGAATTAGTCCGAACAATTCCTCAGAACACTATATTTATCATTTTATATAGTATTTCCAAAGAACAGAAATCAGAAGAATGATTTAATATAAATCATCTATATCTTGTAATCACCAGTCGGTATTTTCCCAACAAAGTAAAACAACATAAATCGTTACTGCCAACTAACCGCCATGTGCTGTACCCAAGCGTTCTAGAAACATCTACACCATATGCAGAATTCGACAGTTAACAACGGTAAAGTTCTGCACGCGAGCGCCTATCGCGGCATTCCTCGATCCGGCGAGGAGTGCCGTGAATAAATCAACTCTCGGCACCTCTGATCCCTTAAATAAGTACGCTCTCGTGTGTGAAATATCGAGTTCGTTCGACTTTGCGCGCGCGTGTTTCTGTGGCAATAACACTTTGCGGTAAGAAATGAAAAGACGATCTACTACTCCTATTTGTCGCATGTTGTCAAAAAAAAGTTTTTGCTACATTAAAAACATTAGCAAATCGAGTTCGATTATCAATGCTAACAATGAAATTAATACTCGCAGATTTCGTACAGATTTAGTATTGTACTGGGTAGTGAAGGAAGACATGTAAAGTTCGCTAGTATGCATAGGATAGCGCGGAAGACTCTTCCTTGATAAAAATACACAATAAGATCCCGAATAACGTCAAAGAATGTAACGATATACAGATTTTCAAAAAATAAATTTTTCCACTTTCTAATTGAACATTCATTACATTTTATTGATGAATTTTTGTCGAGTTTTCACAGTTAAGTCCAATTGACTGTATTACATGACATATAATAAAATTTATAAGTCAATCAACATGCACTAGAAATCAGTGCTTATACCAGACATCGTGAAAACCTCTTCTGGAATAAAAAAAAAATATTCAAAAACATTCCCTAAACCTCTCAAAATGAGCTACCCAATATAGGAACTTTACTTTACTTTACTCTAATCTAACATGAATAATCTAATCCAATATTACTAATAATATTTAAAATGAATAATTTAATCTAACAATTTAATCTACTATTATGAATATGTAATCTATGAACTACGAATGATATTTGACATTTGTATGCCCATGAGGCTGATAACAGACTGAACTTTATTTGTATTTAATTATGACCTTTTTGTAACCTGTGAATCACAAATAAACTATTTGATTTAATTTGCTATAAAACCCTCAAGCAGGGGAAGGAATAGATTTTATATTTAAAAAAAAACAAGTGTACAGCTCACACGCGGTGGAAGTGAAACCTTCAGAAAAGGAAACAGATATAATAGTAAACACTGTAACTGTATACTACATTCTATCTCATTCTCTCGCAGGTTGAACTCTATAGATGTACATGTCTGTCTATTTTTAGTTGCTTTTTCGTTTCATCGATTTCCAACGACTGTGAAGAAGTACTCACTTCAAAAACATTATACATTTAAAACATCAAGTATGAAAAAGTGAAAAGAGTGTTGCCGCTAAAATGCACACAACGTCATTACCATTCAGAAAACGAACGGTAGGAAACGACACGTACATCGCCCATCCTTCAGCCGGGACGAATCCAGAAGCGCCTACCTCGCCCCAAATGGACAATTTGACCTACCCGCCTACCCAGGACTTTACACACCATAATATTTCGTTCAGATAGGATTCCTATGTAGGTCGCATGGCTCGGCAATCGGGCCACAAATCTACTGAGTCCTTGTTGCCTACTCTAAGCCGAAGCTAATATTCTTCCTGTATCGGTACATAATATTTTATAAATTCTGCGTAGATCGGACCATAAATAATAATTAAAAAGCTCAAGGTACTCTGGTACACTAACATCGGGACGTCAGTCACCTCAGTCCCCCATGACCATGGGTGCTGGAAAGCACCCGAAATGTCGGAAATTAAAAATAAAGTAAATGAAACACGATTAAATCCGTAGAATTAATTTAAATTTTTGTAGTTTTAATCAATGTGAAGTGTTCGCGTAAATATAACAAATCATTAGGTACTTAAAACGTTTGGCTCCAACCTTCGAATGAAATAAAAACAACTCATTTTAAAGAAGTAAACATTTTGATTATGATTTGATAATAATATATTGATTTTTATTCTACCTTTTAATTGTCCTATTACACTTTTGTAACTCGTTGGTCCCGTGGTTGTACGACTGCTGATCATGAGGTTCCTGGGTTCGAATCCCGGGTCAGG